CTGGCGCTCCAAACGTCGACCACAGCCTCGCGGTGTGTGCCAGTGGTGCCGTTCTTCGGCCCGGGCTGGTAAGCTACGCGTCGGTGCCCAGGACACTAGTTTTGGTCGGCGTTTGGAACAACTGGGTCTGGGAACAACCCTGTCATTTCACTGTAATTTGAAGCGATGATCTTCAGGGTTGACTCAGAGGTCAAACGGCCTTTGGCTTCGTGAATGGTCTGTGACGGAGTAAGTGTCTCGTATGGCGCATTAGCAAACGCGTGACATGTCCTGACGCATCCTGAGACCGGCAAACATGAAATTTGACAGCCCTTAGCCTGAATCGTGCCGCGATATCAAATATCCACTTATGAACCATGACCTTGGATCCGTGCAAGCTAACTTTCTCTGCCTCTTCTACAGAGGCAGAGAAGTTATAAAGTTGCGTTTGTAAAAAATCAGCGACGTATGCTCGTAAATATGCGCTAGATTCGGTATCCGCCTAAAGTTGTATGTTGTGGTGTCCGCTGTAGGATCTCACTTAACTGATGTTTTAGGCAAAACGCTTTTTGCGAACAACTTTACTGTGGAAAATATAGCTACCAACTCCGTTTTATTTCGATCACCTTTAGGCGAGTTGACTTTACCTGTATTCGAGCATTTGGCAAAAACAAAATACGCTGCAAACAGCTGTTGTGCTCGGCGTAACCAAAAATATCGATTACATCGGAAAGCAACGAAAAAACGAAACTCCGCTGCTGAGGACAGCTATCAAGAACGTCACAAGAGCCAATGCAAATGCTCGGCTGTCAATCATGTTCAATTCTTCAAACAGAATGAATATGCGTCTTAAATAAATCAATTGCCCCGAAACTGAAGCCACAAACTGTGGAAGTGTTGGAAGTCCACCAACAGACAAGATGACGGGTATTCATAGGCATCGACTGCCACTGAAAGACCCATTCTTGTTCTGATAGCTACACAGTCCTGCTGACTTCATTCCTTTTCTGCTGAGGTTGTATCGTTTTGTCCTACTTTCTTCCCCGACTAGACGCCACTTGATTGATTCCTTCGGTGAAGTACACGCATGGAACACGCATGTTTGTAAGTAAAACTCCTTTTTCCTAAAGGCTAGAAGAAAATGAAGAAACGCACGTACTTGCCAGTATGGCTTCAACTAAAAGACTAGCGAACAGAACTGCGCACATTTTATGATAAAGCATACATATGGGTCACACGTTGTTTGATACAGGCTCGCTTTCTGATCCCTGTCGTTCGACTGGTGGCGTTAAACTAAATAAACCTTACGATTTACTTCCAAGCCCTGTCGGCCATGTGTCGGTCCCAGATAACCGGCGTGACGTTATGTCAGATGATGCGAGAATTATTGGTGATCTGCGGACAGATCTACAGGTCTGTCTGCCTGTGATCTGTGTTCGCCTGCTCCGCGCATCTGGTTTCAAGACCCGCTCTGGTTGCTGCTATCTGATATCAATCTTCCATTAATCTTGAAAAACTTGTTAAATCGGGCAGATCTCAGACTTGTCCTCGGGCACGCGTCACCGGCTGTACATAATACTGGCACTTGTGCAACCCAATTTCTATCCTCCGACAATCCTTCGAACTGTCTGCAGGTGGGGTCGATAAACCGGTTATTCGTATCCGGGGCAAAAAGTGCACGTCGGATGTTGAGGCTGCCTAGCTCAGCAGTGAAGGCCACATGCTAACCACCTTGCATTTTAACAGAGGTGGGTGCAACTTTTGAGCGGTTTCACTTGTTGCTGAAAACCGCATGAAGCCGCACCCACTGGTTGCGCAGATGTTAGCTTCTTTTGATATTGCCGGCTGGGATGAGATGCGCCGCTGGAGCTTAGCGTGTTCTCACTGATCCAGAAAGGCTCGCTTAGCGTACTTCTGTACTGTAATCGGGTCAGTTCCAGTGAAATTCACAAACACCTATATGCATTTTTTCCATTTGTCAGTGAGCATCAAAACATTGTGTATACTTGTTGACTAATGGAACACTCTTTTAGTTATGTGTTGCTTGTAATATTAATGCAGCGCCTGACTTGCGGGCAAGTGCTGCGCTCACCATGCCTTTTAGCATGTCGTTAGGCAAGTTGGCGCAGTTTTAGCGGATAATGCTTCCCGCCGAGATCAGGGACGGGATTGGGGATGGGATCAAGGATGGGAGCAGGGATGGTATTAGGGATGGGATTAGGGATGTTTTACGCAAAGGTCAATGGTGGAAGGGAGCGAAGGGACGCGGTTCCAGTCAGGGCAAACTAGCAGCTTTGAGGGCACCTGGCCATCACTGACACCGCGCGGAGGGGGGAGGGGGGGGGGGGGGGGGGCGCGAGCGCTCATGAGTCGGTCAGCAGGTCCCCCGGACCGAGTTCGTCTGACCGTGCAGACGTCCGCCAGCGTCCGTTGAGACATTCTAAAACGCACGAAGCGACCTGGGGCCTACCCTGACCCTGCGCGATGGTGCTGGAGCTTACGCTGACCCCGCGCGATGGTGCTGGAGCTTACGCTGACCCCGCGCGATGGTGCTGGAGCTTACGCTGACCCCGCGCGATGGTGCTGGAGCTTACGCTGACCCCGCGCGATGGTGCTGGAGCTTATGCTGACCCCGCGCGATGGTGCTGGAGCTTACGCTGACCCTGCGTGATGGTGCTGGATCTTATGCTGATCCTGCGCGATAGTGATGGATCTTACGCTGACCCTGCGCGATGGTGCTGGAGCTTACGCTGACCCTGCGTGATGGTGCTGGATCTTATGCTGACCCTGCGCGATAGTGCTGGAGCTTACGCTGACCCTGCGCGATGGTGCTGGAGCTTTCGCTGACCCCGCGCGATGGTGATGGAGCTTACGCTGACCCCGTGCGATGGTGTTGGAGCTTATGCTGACCCCGCGCGATGGTGTTGGAGCTTATGCTGACCCCGCGTGATGGTGCACACGCCGTCCCAGCTAAACGGCAGAGAAACCTCCGGGATGGCTGCGGAAGTCCCAGCTAACCGCGGGAACGGTGCAAAGACAAGTTTCAAGACAAATTTCGGTCTGAAATGGTCAATGGGCTTTTGACATGGCCTAGAAGCACCAGACGTTTAATGCATCGGAACGTTTAATGCAACCCGGGTACGGGTCGCCGAATCAGACCACCCAGAGGCTTTGGAAATCTCAAGCCTTGCCCTGTGTAGGCCCTTTGAAGTTTCAGCCCATCTGCCTTAAGTACTCCTACATGAAAAGTACATGGCATATAGTGTCCATATGCCACAAGTTATGTTCCAATGTTCCAATATCCAAATGTTCGTTGGTACTGACTCGACTATCAGCCTTGCACCTTTGTGTTGCGCTGCTGGCTGCTGTACCGCTACGTGCTTTGGATGAGGCAATGTTTGGTGGACAGTAAGTTAGCATGGTGTCTGCTATTAAGAAGGACTGCTCGCCACGTTGTGGCGTGCCTTGCATATTATTAGCTGGTTTCTTACTCTCTCGACGAATTACGGTGCTGACCTTGCAGGGCACCTGCAGTGCCAACTTCGTGTTCGTGATTGGTCACGCCTGTGACGTTTCGTCCACTGCACGGGCCCTGCTCGAATGGAGCCAGGAGATGAATAGGGGCCTCCCTGCATTTGCAACTAAGTTTGGAAGCAGCACAAGCTCAACGAGGAGGGCGTCCCTCGATACGGCCGCGACCTACTGCCCGAGACAGCCAGAGCCTTGACTGACTTCGCACCGTTATCAGCCCTCACGTCGTTCCAGGTGGGTTCTCGAACGACCTTCAACTCTCGTGCGTATGACTGACTGATGCCCGCTTGTAAGGATTACTTAACGGTGTGGTCGCCGCTTTGTTCTTCATCACGACTGAGCGACCAATGCAAACGGGCTGAAGTGCTGGGTAGCCGACGCAGCGGCGGGTAGCGTCGCCTGTTAACTCCTCCGTGGCCAGGTGGAGCGTTTTTGCGTCAAGTTCGCCTAGGTCATTTACCTGCGCAGTAGCGCTTTCGGCGTGGCTGCCTTTAAAGTGGTAGGTGACTGCCTTCCTATTGTCCTCCTCGCTTCACCCGGAACACCCTGAGGCCCGTTCTTCACTGGCCAATGGAAGCCCACTTCTTACTCCGTTGTAAGCCCACTACTTATCTACGTCACAGTCCAAACCCGTTCCCTATTTGGCCCAGAGGCTAAGTAAGTGTGCTGGTTTAAAAGTAAGTTGCTGATGGATGCTGATATAACAGCGTGTAGCAGCGTGTAGCAGCGCTCGATGCCCTGTTGACGGTCCTGTAAGCCCGGCAAATAGGAAGGTCCCGATCTCATCTGAAAAGCGCGACCGATATTGATGTCTTTAGCCATAGATCACTTGCTAACGACTGCGATTTGAATAATATCGAAGTGCGCAATTCCTGCGCGCTATATGTCTCCACGGAGCTGAACAAGCGGATTCTTTTTGTGCCCATGTGTGGAATTAAAGGCGTTCTTTATTGGCGTGTATCTGTGACGCCACCTCAGCGAACGGAGCTTGAGCTATAAGTCTTTGGGGAGGCCGGCCCCAGAATCTAGTGGTGGTGTAGTTCATTGGGCGACTCTGTCTGTAGTCCATTGGGCGGCTCTGTCTGAAGTCCATTGGGCGGCTCTGTCTGTAGTCCATTGGGCGGCCCCGTCTGTAGTTCATTGGGCGGCTCTGCCCTCAAAAAGACCATTCACTGAAAGCGAACCGACCGTAGACGGTCACGGATGGCGCGGGAATACTTGTCCTCTACGAACTAAATGCAAGGATGCGTTTTTGCAAGGGAATCTCTCACAACGAAAGCCGACGGACGGGTCGTTCTGTGGCTGCTGAGGAAGTGCGCAGTCGGAGTGGCGGACACCAGCACCCTGCGGCGGCGGCGATCAGGGGGCCCGCGCGGGTCGCCGACGGAGGCGCGCCCGGCCCGCCGGTGGCGCCCCCCTCACCGGCGGTGAAGGTGGCCAGGTGGGCCGCCCGTGCCGGCTGGATCGCTCAGACCTGATCCAGAGGTGTATCACGAGGCCGGCCAGCTCCGAGACCGGCCCCACAGGTGGGTGACGGGCCTGATCTCGTTCGCTTCCCGCGCCGGTGCCGCTACACGACGGCTCGGATGTTTCGCTGCCGGAGAACGTTAGCGCGCGACCAAGACGCCGGTACCGTCCTCAACTGTGAGCCGGACGTAATCATTGCGCTTGTGCGTGTTAGAAACCCGGCTTGCCGACTTCAGTGATGTTTGCACTGTATTCTGTTAAATCCGTTGTTCTGTTCATTGTCACTCAATTGTATGTTGATAGTTGTTTCGGTGCCAAACACAGCAAGATTGATCTCACATTTTACCTGCATGAGCTCAGCGACTCGCTGTTTTAATGACCACCAACATTTTGTGCTGGCTGTGTGAGCTAAAGACATCGCTATTCACTGGCCGTTAGTGAATTTGGATCTGCGAGAAACCTAGAACCGACAGATCTCACCGTCTGTTCTATCATCGGATTCATCGGATTCATCGGATTCATCGTCGGTTCACCGTTCGCTTCGTCGGCATGAGATTTCTACTCCATATTAGTCGCCCCCTGAAGTAGCGCACTTCTTGCTTGCTGTTGCCATAAGTCCGATGTCAGAGGTCCTCTGCATTTAACCTCTACTTTTTATGGCAAAGACTTTGGAACATTACGACCACTTTCAGACTGGTTTGCCGGCCTCGACGGCATTTGGGTCACATGCTGCTAAATTCATGTTGTGTCCGTTTCCGCTTGGATTGCAGCTCGAATCTAACCGACCTTTGCACTAAAACCGAGCGAAAGTAAAAGTGCGGTTTTGATTTCAATCCCAGGATTACGGAGGGATAAACTCGTGCGATGTTGTGAGGATTTGGCTCTACAAATCAGCTATTATAATATTTAGCAACTTGATTATTTGACAGAGCTAGATGGGATTTCGTCTGATGGTAAGCCATTCAGACGCTTTACGTTTATCGTACGTTATCACTTGAAGCGCTAGCTTATGGTGCCTGCTTTTCTCAAATGCCGGGGGGCACATATCTTTGCCGTTCGGGTGATCTTGATTTAAGGTTGTATGCAATACTTACGATCGTCTCATCCTGCGCTACGCAATATATTAACAATTTCAGTCAGCTGGGGCGCACAGATCCTCACGTCTTCGCTTCCTGTTGGTACGATTACATATAAGATGTGACCAACAGTAAACAAATACGTATAATCACGTCCGTATAGCTTCCATAAGCGTGCACCTCTATTCATACCATGCCTGATATCATACCATACCATACCATGCCATGCCTGAAGCTACCAAGCCATAGCCATAGTTCAAGCCATGTAAGTACATAGTACATAGTACAAATATAGCACATAGTACATAGTACATAGTACAAAACATAGCACATAGTACATAGTACATACATAGCACATATTACATAGTACAAGCCATAGCCAGAGCCATAGTTCATACCAGGCCTTGGTAACACTGCCGCTTGGGATCGTAGGACCGCTGGACGATCTCAGAGCTGCTGTCAGGTGTCTAAGGGCGACTGTCAAATGTGCTTCCTGAGGGCCAGACCGGCCCGGCCCGTGGGAAGGAGATGAACAGGATCACGATCGCTGCGTCGGTGCTGTCGCTGGTGGGGAAGGAAATGAGCAGGATCACGATCGCTTTGCCTCCGCTGTCGCTGGTAGACGAAGGGGATGAACGGGATCGCGATCACTTTGCCTCCGCTGTCGCTGGTAGACGAAGGGGATGAACGGGATCGCGATTGCTTCGCCTCCGCTGCCGCTGGTAACGAAGGGGATGAGCGGGATCGCGATTGCTTTGCCTCCGCTGTCGCTGGTAGACGAAGGGGATGAGCAGGATCACGACCGTTTTGCCTCCGCTGTCTCAGGTAGCCGAAGGGATGAACGGGATCGCAGTCGCTCCGGCTCTGCCGTCGCTCAAATCCGCCAGCTGACCTTGTCTCCGCAGCCCATCCGGCGACGCCGCGAAAGTGAACAACGTCGCCTGCTACTTGCAGCCAAACTGGTTGCCTGGGAGGGTGGGGCTAAGCTTCGCATCGTTGAGGTGACGGGTCGACCAACGTCCCTGGCGACCTCGTCAGCACACTGACGTCCCAGCAGCAGGGACGGCTGTGACGCTGACGAGACAGTCTGACCTTCCCCGCACAGCCGGAGACGCCAAAAGGGGGCCCGGGATGGGGTCGTATGACAAGCGGTTGCAAGGATGTCACTCGGTCAAAAGCGTGAAGACAAGGAGAAAAAAGTAGAGCCGACAGATCCCACCGTCGGTTCTATCGTTGGTTTCATCGGATTCATCGTCGGTTCATCAAATCCTGCTGGTCACATCAATTCTGGTCGGTTGGTAAGGCTTGCGGGGCATGTGGTCTCGATCGTGTTATGTCGTTTTTGATGGCGAAGAGCTGGAGAAGTAAATCACAGTTACTCTAATCGCACAAAACGTTTTATAAAGGCGCCAAGACAGCGCTGTTGAGCCATTTACGAGCCACGCGGCCCATACTGGATGGCGTCAAGCCAAAAAGCTTGAAACACTTCGTAAAACTTGAAACACTTTCGAGTATGAACGCAACGCGTCGAACCTTAAAAATGTTCAGCATTCGAAGACGGCTAGCTGCCAACGCTTCAGATGTCCCGGCGGAACACACTTTGCTCCGCGAAAACTGTTTTTAATCTTTAATCTAGTGACCTTGATCAGGTCACGTTTTTACGGTTTTGTTTACTGACGCCTTACCTTATCACTCTCGTGTACTTGAAGCAAATATTGTTCAATGCTTGTCGCAACTTGAAGAACCGAAACGTTCACAACGATAGGCACATGATCATAGCAGCAAACGAAAATATAGGCCCGGCGCGACAACATGAATGATGTATGGATCCGCGGTCAACCAAATGCAGATATATTTTTTCGATACAGCGTAAGTTGCTCAGTGCATTAGCAAGGCAAATTATTCACATAGATAAGATGGTGGTATTAGCCTTATTCCTCGGAGAAAAACCAGGAGAATGGACATATAGTTGGGTTGATATTTCGGTAGCATGCCCTTATCGGAGCAATAGCAGAAGTGAATTAAAGTTGCTCGTCCTCACGAATTCGCTTGTGCTATTGTTTCGATAAATGGATGTTGCCGAAACACCAACCCAAGTGTACCTCTATTCTCCTGGTTTCTCCGAGGAATAAGGCTAATACTACTGTCTCATCTGTATTTTTTCAGATAACTTTCAGCAAGCTTTCTAGATCATGTAGGATTGTTGATGTACTTTGACATTATATTTCCGACAAACACGTCATGAAGAGGAACGCTGAACATATATGGAAAATCGCTTTCCAAACAGTACGCGGCTACTCGTCTAGCATGCTTGCCAACTTTTGCTGTAAAGCTGTAAGCAAATGCTGACTGCTGTAAAGGTCATGGTGCTATTTTTTTCCCTTCGACGCAAAATGTTTGCCCTAACCAATGAAACAGAAAGCGGTTCAGTGTTATGAAAAACAAGTGTACAAAAATGCCAATTAAAACATGAAACAACCAGTCCCGGTAAACCTTATTTGTGAAATTTTAAGAACGTTGGTCAGTATTGTTTACACTTCAACGCATTAGCATCATACTAAACAGACATATAATTGCAATTGAAATACATTTGAAACAAGTCACCTGACGTTTTGAGGCAGGCTGAGGACCTCTCTCTCTCCGCACCACAGCAACCTGCGGTCAACAGTTGGTTACTCCTACCCTCCGATCCATGCCCCGCTGATATTCTGGCGTGCTCATGCATATGATGTAGAGCCTACGTGCCATAACCATTGCTTAAGCCTAAACGCTCCCTGTGCTGATTTAAGTTGATTGGTGGTGAGGCTGCATGCCAAAGATAGTTCAAATGGACAGCTTATTCGCAACGGATTCGGACACCCTAGCTTTCTTCTCCGTCACACGCTCCCTCCCAGCACATTCCGTGAGCGTCCCTTGGATTTCGTCTGCGTGCGCCTCTGCACACACGTCCCTGAGTGCTCCCCTGCACGCACGTCCCTGAGTGCGCCTCTGCCCAGGTATTGCTGCGAGTATCTCTGCTCGCCTGTCCCTGGATGCTGCGGCTTGCAAGGCTGCCTGCATTGCGCCGGCGGTGCGTTGCACAATGGCGGCACTTTGGAGGCCGGCTCGCGCGCGCCGTTCGGCGGCTCAGCGCGCGGGGACGAGCCCTGAGAGAGTTCGATTTCGGCGAGGCTTTGGTGTCCCGGTTTCGTTCCAAAGCCATGTGCGGCTTACATCCGACGGCGACTGCTGTCTGGAGGTAGTCCGGTCCGAATGTTTTCCTACACCCGAAATATGGTCTGGATCCGTCCCTGCTGGATCCTGCACATTTGGTTGCGACACCAACGTTAAAAACACGCTAACGGAGTCGGGACAGGATCGGGCCTGACCCACTCCCAGCAGGTAATAGCGGTAAGCTGGCTCGCAACACAGTGCTAGGAAGGGTTGGTAGATGAGTCCGAAGCTTGGAAAACAAAAGACGTGGTCTGAGGTTTAGCTGGCAATACTCGCTGACATTTTGCGAGTCAACTAAACTTGTCAACTGGGAGATAGTCTTACGTCCACCGTATTATTAGCTGCAAAATAAGATACAATTTTGTAGAATTTCACATATCGGCTGAGATGTCTGCTGGAAAAAATAAGTTGCACGCTCCTGATGGTTGGCCGCTGATGATCAAGCAGACAATGAGCAAGAGGCGGCAACTAGATGAAAAACCCTCGCTGGTAGCGCTAGCTTGTAAATCGTAGATAACAATTCCATACAAACTCCAATTTTTTACCATTTCAGAGGTGAAAAGCTTCTGGCATACATCCAAATCACTGCGTGGGCCATAAAATGCGAGCCGGGCACAACTGGATTTCGCAAGTTCACGGGGCAGAAGTGTCCTTTTTCGGTCTGATTGACAAACGCTCGTCACTGGATGACCTCACGACCCGAGGTCAGAAGCCATCAGCTGATGCAGAGACAGGCTGAGGTCTGTGAGTGACCTCACGCGACCTTGCAC